ATAAAGCATGCAGCCCATCTGCTCCTGGGGCCTTAAGGGGACCCATTTCAAAGAGAGCTATTCTGACTTCCTCCTTAGTGATAGAGCAAGCAAGCAAATTAGCCGTAAAATCAGGAGTGGGAGGGAAGAGATTTGAATACCTGTAGGGGATATTCTGGGTGTGGTCCAGCGAGTAAAGGGACAGAAAGTAAGAAGACGCCATCTCTCTGAGCTTGGTTTGATCAGATTCCCAACAACCATTCTGATCTTTTAGGAGCATGATTCGATTTTTCCTTCTTCTAATCATGGCTTTGGTATGATAGTATTTTGTGTTTCTGTCTCCGTCTCTAATCCATTGACTGCGACTTTTTTGGAGCCAGAGGACCTCTTCTTTCAGGCATATGTCTTCGTACTCATAGAGGAGTTTCCTTTCTAGGTCGAGGTAATATTCTGAGAAAGGGTTATCCTCTAAGGCTTTTTGAGTTTCGGCAATCCTGTTTCGAAGTCTCCTCTTGTTTTTTCCTATGGCGCCAAAGACATCTGAATTCCACTTTTTTGCTGCTTCGATGAAAGAGCTGATGTTGTCGGCAAGATTTTTCTGGATGTTCCAGGTGCTGGCCACAAGATCCGAGAAGTTAGAGTGAAGGAGCCAAGATGCTAGGAAACGAAAAGGTGCTTGGGAATGCTTGCTTGAATCAGTTTGTTTAATTAGGAGGGGCCTGTGATCACTTTGGACTCTTGGCAGGTGCATGACTTCTATGTAGGGGTGGAGGGATATCAATTGATTGTTGCATAACGCTCGGTCTAAACGGGCCAAAAGATTTCCACGCTGCCAGGTATATTTTGGACCTGAGAAGCCCATGTCAATTAACCCAGCATTTTGGACAAAATTTTTGAATTTTTTGCAGCCAGGTTGGCTTGGCCTTGCACCCCCCTTCCTATCATCAATATCCAAAGTTGCGTTGAAATCCCCTGCTAGGAGCCAAGGCTTGTTATCAGCTATCTGAAGCTTAAGGAGATCATGCCAGAGGCATTCTCGAAGGGTGGAGTTTGGGCTTCCGTAAATGGCTGTGAACAGGAAATGATTTGCATCACTGGTTTCCCCCACTAAGGCGTGAATAAACTGTTTGTGGTTGGCTAGAATTTGTATTGTCACACTATTGCGCCAGAGGAGCCAGATTCCACCAGAGTAGCCTGTAGCTTCAATTCTGTGAGAGTTTTGATATCCTAGTTTACGGATGACTCGATCAGCCTTGACTCCTGAAATTCTTGGTTCAACCAATGCCACAATATCTGGTTTATATCCCTGCAGCAGAGATTTTATTACAGCATGGAATTTACTTGAGGCTGCCCCTTGGCAGTTCCATACAAAGATGGATTTATTACCGCCAGAGAGACTTGTTAAGTGGACAGAGGATGACAGATTGGGCGTTGCGCACTCTACACGTGTTCTAGTTTAGCTTTTCGCTGTTTGGACGCTCTAGCCCCGTTGTATAATTAAAAAAAAAAAAAACTCTGGCTAACCTTCTAAATCGTATCATTTAGTTTAATCGGTTAACACCATTAGAAATATTCTTAGGAGATTCTAAAAATATTATTTTTCAATGAAATTTATATTAAAATAAATTGTTTACTATTTTATCTATTATAATAAATTCTTAAATTATATTTTTATAGTTACACGAATTTTATTTACTTAAGGCAATCATAAAACATTTTATTAAAAGTTAAATAATTTTTTCAATAAATATATATACTCGAACTAATATGTTCATAAATTTTTGAATTATAAATTTAAATAATTTATAAAATCTTTTAAACTTGTATCATTTAAACTTTATGATAAACAATAATTATGTATTTGAAATATGTTTTTACAATTTAAAAGAAATCAAAGTAAATAATTTATCATGATTGTGATAAAAAAATTAAAATTATAAAATTTTATGATTTAAATTAATAAATTTTATAACATATTAGAAATTTTAAAATATATGTATTGGAATTATTTTTTGATTTTATAAATAACATTTTTTGAAAAATATAAATGTCTAAATGATTATTATGTTAAAAAGAGGTATTTTGGTCAAAAAAATAATTTAAAGTCAAACCTAACATTCAACTACCGGTCTGAATAAATGACAATAGAATCTTAAATATAGAAGGAAGATTTGTGTAACATATATTTTAATTTCAAAGGGAGTTTATATACATTTTCAAAATATAAGGGAGATTTCGTGATTGAGATAAAATAGAAGGGTGATAAGTATATTTCATTCTTAGTTTTAATATTATAATTCTACTCATAATAAATTTACACTTAAATACTTTGCAAGTCAAAGCATTCCAGTAAAACGTTGTTTGGCCCCTTTCACAAAGACAATGTTGGATAATGATGAAGATCAACAATGATAATAATTTAAAAAAAAATATCTAAGTTCCTCTGCTTCATTTTTAATTAAGAGTTAAGACCTTTCATTTTTTTAATGGACACTTAAAGTTTTATTAATTATAGACATTAGTTTCTATTCTCATATGTGAGAGAAATTTTTTTTATTAGACATAAGCATCTTTCTATTAGAAATATGTTTTAGATGCTATTTAGTATTAATGGGATGTTTGAGTAAAAACAAACCATAGTTTTAAAAGCACTTTTACGGTCTACGAAGTAAATATGTGGAAAAATTTATTTTAATTTATAGAAAAGTGTTTCTGAAAATTTCTGAAAAACACTTTTGGGATTGGCCAAACACTTTCTAAATATGAATAATTCTTACAATGAGAATTCAAAATAATCCTTCATGGGGTAACTCCTTTTATGTTAGATTAGACAGGACGGAGGGGTAAGAAAAATGGAATTAATAACCAATAGTGTGACCCTCACTTGGCATGCATACGAATTTCATAAATTATAAGTACAGAAATTAATACTACTTATAATTTTTTTAAAAAAACATAATCGAGAATGGATCTTCATATCAAGCCAAACTTTAGACATGAGGCTTTCAGAGAGTCTGTACCCAATTGCGTGTTGACTTGAGCCTCTCTCTCTCCCTCTCTCGGAATTAGGCATAAAAAATAAAAAGAAGAAAACAAATCTCGATTCTTTCAATGGCATCGAGTCGCGATCCCTTGCTGCAGCGAAGATGCAGAGGGAAAAGAAAAGAAAAGAGAAACGAAGCCATTGATTCAGAATTCAAACTTGTAAGCAACCAACATAGGCCTCATCCTCACCCTGCTACTTACGACACCTTTCTTCAAAGCTGATTCTCTTGGAAATATAATCCCCTTCTTCCACACTACTGTCCGATTCATTCGCGTAAAATACACACAGAAAACATCGCCATTACAGAAGAACCTCGCTGACCATAGTATTAAGCTGATTTACACAACAAAAATTACCACTTTTGATAAAAGAAACCAAGAAGGATTTCCTTCTTAAGCTAAAATCTGTAAGATCGCAAATTTAAATCTCATTTACAGACAAAGCGTTATTTAACCCTAAAATCAGTTGTTGGTTTATTTAACCCTAAAATCAGTTGTTGGTTAAGATGACAAGAAAAAGTTTCGAAACCAACGAAGTCTCAAGAAGAACTTTATTTATAGGTAAAATATTATTTAACTTTAAAATTAGTTGTTTGTTAAGATAGTAACAGGGAAAAAAAAAACACGAGTTTAAATTTTAAAAAGTGTAGAACAAAAATCCTTAGCTTCCCTCAAATAAAAAAATAAACAATACCTCAATGTTAGCCAACTCATCTGAATTTTCTTTTATCGAAAAAATAATACTTCTCTGGTCCTGAATACAAGACTCTGATACTCAGTCTTGTATTCAAGACCAAAGGAGTTTTTTTTTTCTCTGTGCCATAAACGAAAGATAAATCCTTCAATCATCAATGCTCAATCGGTCATAATCACAAGTCATTCATTCTTGTACTCAGGCAACACTTGTATAGACGTGTTCATTTTGGTATTGGCATGCACATACCAAATAGGGTTTGAACTGAAAGACTCAGTGTTAGCCAGTAAACCAAAGCTAATACAAACACAAACGCATCCTAATTCATATATTAAAAATTATAGAAATCTCTAAACAACAGTACAATCCAGCTGGAGTACTTTTGGATTACATTCCAACAACACTTTCGAGCAAAATCTATCCATTTTTACTTCTCATAGAAGCTGCACTATACCAACTTCTGTGTCAAATGTGAAGCGAAAAACGAGGCCTAAATTTCTTTATCAAAAAGAACTATGTTCTTTAAAAACACTCACCATAGATTTGAGCCAAAAGTCGTCAGAAGTTCTCATTTCTAGTAATAGGGATGAGTTCAACTTCTTAGTTTTGACTTTAGCAAGAAGGGATAATGATATGAACAGCTGAAATTGTTTTCATAGTGAGAGAAACGAAACCACAAGGATACATCAAAATGCATCATCATATAGCTACTTCGCTAGACAATGAATTGTATTGACACCCTTCTATATTGTGTGTCGTTAACCTAATCCGCTGATTCATTATCGGGTCTATAATCCGTAAGCACAAGGCAAAATATGACTTCTCTTCTGTATCACTTCCACAAGAATAACAAAGAGACACTAAATTGATCAAAATCTGCACAAGATATATAACAAACACCTTACATTAATCCATTTACATTCAAATGAGTCTTTCGTTGAACCAGAAAGAAAGAAATCAAATTCCAAAAAGCCACTCCCAGTGACAGAATCAAAATCTGCACAATACACCCACACGCACCCATCACAAACACCTTCTATTTATATATTTCATTGTTGGATCAGAAAAAAAATAGAGAAGACAGACTTGAAAAAGGCACTCTCAATGACAGAATCTATGGCATTACAGAAGTTAATCTTGCCATTAATACTGTCTCACCAACACAACAATCAGAAACAGTCACGGAGAATAATAGTAAAATTAAATAGCAGAGAAGGCACCCAGAAATAGAAATAAACCATCCAACATTAATAACTGAAAATAGAACTAAAGCAATAAGAAGAAAAAAGAAGAGGAAGCTAGAGATCTAACTTCTGTTAGAGCGATACTGAATTTTTCTTAACTAGTATTGTACATTACAGACAAGCAGAACAGGCAAGGATCTGCATCAAATCTTGTTCATCAAACAGTTCATATAAGATTACTCTCTTTCTTCCTTCTTCCTCTTACAAAGCTTAAGAGGAAGAAGGAAGAGCAATACCCATCATCACCACTGTCTCTCAGATTTAAGATCATATTTCATCGTCCTCAATTTTTTTTTCTTTTCTTCCGCATATTAGATAGGAGAAAGAACAAAAATTCCAATAAAAAAATTCAAAGATAACGTTTTTTTTTCCTTCTTTTTCTTTCTTCTGTTTCAGCATCAGAGACGCAGATCGGTGCAGTGAAGATCATCATCGACCGGTGGGAAGTTAAGATCGAAGGGGAAAGGCCGCCGGAAAGAGGACGATGCGATATCATCACCGTCGTTGTCAACCACAGACGACGATGAATCGCAGTCGCTATGGCAATCCTCTGGCACAACGGGCGGCGTTCGAGGGTATCTCCGGGAGGTGGTGGTGGTCAACGGCGGCGCCATCGAGCGAGGACGAGGGCCGCTGAAGGACTCGACGGTGCTGCTCATGCCGCTAGAGGTAGGTCTCTGAGGATTGATCTGGTGCTCCTGGAAGCCATTAGAAGCATACAACCTGTGATCTAAAAACGGATCGGCGAGGTTGTTACTATTGTGGTGGTAACAGAAGGGTGAGAGAGAAGAAGGGTTGATCGGAAAGTTGGTCTTAGCCTTAGGTCCGCGGAGGCTGAGAGCGGCAGCGTCGTAAGCTCGAGCGGCTTCTTCGGCGGAATCAAAGGTGCCAAGCCATAAACGAGCTTTCTTCACAGGGTCTCTGATCTCCGCAGCAAATCTACCCCACGGCCTCTTCCTCACGCCCCGGTACCTCGGCTCTTTTAAAACCGTCCTCGATCCGGATCCTCCGTCCACTCCGGCTGCCGCCTTCACCGGCGCGGCTGCTCTGCCTTTCCTCATGATCTGAACCAACAGATCTGGACAACCAAGGCGAGGAGAAACCAAGATCTAGTCTTGGACTTCTGCGTGTCTCAAAACAGGTTATAGATTCATGAGGAACATCTCTAAGTGGGAAAGAATAAAGGATTGCGGGTGTGAGGGAAAGAAGAGGAAGAAGATAAGAGAGAGAGAGAGAGAGAGAGAGAGAAGCTGTGTGTGAATGTGAAGAGGAGGCACCAAAGGCAGCACTACTTCACCTCTTCAACGCATAAAGAAAGAAATAATAAATAAGAGTAATAATATTAAAAATTGGGATTTGATTATTATGAAACGTGAAGTGGTGCGTGTGTGTTTCCTAAGCTGTGGCTGTAATGGCGTTCTTTTCTTTCTTTCTTTCCTTCGATTTTTTGATTTGTTGCTTTCTTATTTCTCTGCTTTCTACTTTTCTTCTGACCCAACGCGCCGACTTAGGGTTTTTATTTTTATTGCTTATTGTAAGAAACTTTTATTTTTTGACTTGGATTGTAATAAATTTTGACAATGGCAATATTATTGGGTGAATTATAATTGGACTCAAAAAAAAATCTATGATGAATTATATTTTGAATCCAAAAAAATCTGGCGTGAATTATTACAGTTACGGTATATTAGGGCAAGATAAATTATTACAACATCCCAACATTGCATTATTTTTTTTACTTGGAACAACATAAACAGGAGAAGAACCAAATTTCTCAAGAAAAATGACGTAACAATTAGAGCTAGAAAACATGCTCAAGCCCGTTAAAAGTCTAAATAGCCTAACTAACTTTTGAAAAAGTACGTTTTAAATTAAAAAGAATGTTTGGATGGAATTACAATTATAATTTTAAAAGTGTTTTTATAGTATACGAAGTAAATATGTCAAAGAATTTAATTTGTTTTACCAAAAAAATGTTTTTTACAAATACTTTTATATGTTCCCAAACACCTCATAAGTAGATCTTTAAACCCAACTTGTTTAAGCCCGACCCCATGACCTGTTTAAACCCGTACATTTCTTTCCAGGTCAAAAAAAAAACCATACATTTATGTTTTAACCATTTTGATAATTATATTTGTTCATTTTTTATTTAGCTAGTATTTTCTTAAAATTATTTTAATACTCCGTAAATTACATTATCTAACGTGATGCAAAAATATCAATATATTTATACAATAATGGATCATTTTGTACAAGAATTCAGGATAATAATGTGATTTTCTTTATTTTTTGTTATTTATACATTAATTTGACACGTTAGTTTGCTAGTATATATGATTTAGATTAAAAATTTTAGTTTGCTAATATTTATCCATCCAAAAGCTAATAATTGAAAAAATTGGATGTCTTTAGCAAATTGGAAGTTTAATTATGTTGTTTTCTTGGAATAAGATTAGACACCATAATTTTGTTCTTATTTACCAATTAATTTTTTTATATAAGTTGCTTCTATTATAATTTACAGAAATCATATTTACTTTTGAGTTTAATGTTATATAACTTGTTGAATACAATTGAAACATGAACTTTGGTATTTTATTTTATTAAATTCTTAGACATGCATTTTGGTCCCAAAAAAATAAAGAAATGCAATTAAGCTGAATGTTGGTATTTGCTCTTGCTACTGCTAGTTATTTCGCTGAATGTCGGTTGAATTTGTGACATTTGAATATTTGACTAGTTAAATACTTCTACAGTCCTATTTATAAATCGCTTCCAACATGTTTCGTATAAACCAAGAAAATCTTAAACTTCATTAACTCTCATTTAAAATTCAACAACTTTCCAACTTTATTTCTATTTAATATACATTACATTTTATGTAAATAAAATCAGCACAGTAATCAATGAAGGGTAAAATTGTACATATATACAAAAAATTTCTCTCAATACCCTATAAATATGACCAAAAAATGTCTTCTCTTTCTACCTTATAAATACAATCAGAGGAGTAGTAATAAATATAACCTTTGATTTGATGGTAGCTAATAGCACAATGTTGAATTGCTTTTGCTTGTAACTTAAATCTTGATAATATTTATGCTTTTAATTAGTAATTTTTATTATTTTTAAAAAAAATATATGAAAAATATATTTTTTGTTAAACGTAACTGAAGCTCACGGGCACTCAAGGGCCAAGCCTAATAAAATATTTTATTTTTTTGATAATAAGCCTAAACTAGTTGGCCTGTTTAAGCCTATGACCAATAAAAGGCTGACTTTTTTTCCCATCACTAAATACAATATCTTTATAGTTATGAAATTTCATATCAATAATTCTAATTTTGAAAATACCAAATTAGCCAATATTTTCCAATTTGATATTTAAAAATGTTGTCAAATGACTTTTATGCCTAACGTTTTTTTTAAAATGCTGTTAGATCCCACCAATTTATGGGTGACCCAAAACCCTCATCATCACCAGCCATGAGCATTCGACAACCTCCCCAATAACTAGCTGCCAGTTCTCTGCCTCTGGCACTGCCAATAGCCAACTAAGTTCGCATCACATTTTTCAAATTTTTGAAATTAGAGTAGTTAGTGAGAAAGTAAATGTGATAAACAGCCAACAATAATAACCTTTTTCATGAATTTATTCAGATGTGGAAAGTTCTTTATACAATTTTCAAATGTTCTAAACAAGAATAATAAATAATAAAGCAGGTGACTATTTACTATATTTACTTTGTTATTTACTATTCTTGTTTCAAAAATTTGAATAAGAACTTCACACTTAAAAAAAATTCATGAATAATGTCCTTATTGCCCATTATTACTACATTTCTTTCATGTCTGCATTCTGTGCTCAGCACTTAAAACATCTGCATTTTGAGTGCTGAGCAGGGACTTTTGAATTTTTTTTTTTTTGTTTTTCTCTTTTTTCCGCTTCTTTACACATTTAAATCACATTGTATTAATTCATAAAAAAAATCGCATTATATTAGAATTATTTTTTAGTTAAAGTTCATAAAACAACCTAAAATATTTTTTTTAAAATATGTCTAGTGTCTTAAAATATTTTGTCATATTCCATCACAAAATATTTTATGATATTGGACATACTTAGAAAAATAATTTAGAGTACCAGATGAATCACAAAATATTTTAGAATACTAGACCTTAAAATATTTTTTTAGGTGCCTCTAATATGCTAAAATATTTTGTGATATTGCATAACAAAATACTTTAAAACACTGGACGCACATGAAAAATATTTCAGGGTGCTGGAGGAATCATAAAATATTTTAGGATATTGAATCGTGAAATATTTTTTTCAAGTGCATTTAATGTCCTCAAGTATTTTTAATGTTGCATCATAAAATATTCTGAGCAATGAGGGACTTTTTTTGTTGCTTTTTTTTCTTATTCACGACAATAAAATTATATGTATTGAAATTATTTTTGGTTAAGATTCATCTAGTGGCACAAAATATTTTTGCAGGTGCATCAAGCATTTGAAAATATTTTATGATCTATTCATTACCCCAAAATATTTTCTTAAATACTTCTAGTATTCTAAAATATTTTGTGATGCAAAATTATAAAATACTTTAAGACATTGAACGCATCTAAAAAAATTTCAAGATTCAGTATCGTAAAATATTTTGTGATTTATTTAATACCCTAAATTATTTTTTTAGGTGTATCTTAATACAATGTGATTTTAATGATTAAGGGACAAAAGGAGAAAAAGAAAAAGAAATAAAAACCAAAAGTCCCTTGCTCAACACTCAAAACATTGGCATTTTGAGTGTTGAGCACTCCATACTCATCAAGTTAATGAGCACTGAATGCAAACATATTTGTTTCACTATTTGTTGCTTTTGTTTCATTATTTGCTATTTTGTTATTTATTATACTTATTTTAGAAATTCAAAAAGTGGATTAGGAACTCTCACTTATAACATCATTCTCAAGCTCGTAATATCATTATTTAACAAAATAAAACTATTTTAAGTAGTATTATGGTAGAAAAAGAAAAATCTTTAATTAAAAGTTTACCATAGTATAAAAGAATTTACCTAATACTTAAAAATTTAGCCATGATACAAAAGGAAACACTCTAACTAAACATGATCATGGAAGATGCCTCATCAAAACTAGGGTTGCTCGTGATAGAGAAAGAATTCACCTTTACTATAAACAACCATGGTTGAAAAAGAACAAACACATTTTATAAGTACTTATTTATGATAGAAAAGAGTAAAACTAATCATTTCAAAGCTATCGTAGGTATAAAAACCTTACTAATTCAATCATATGCAAATCATATTAGAAAAAGACTCCACCAGCCTAACATGGTTGCAAAACCAAACCCTTGATTAACATCAAAACATTAGCAATTTAGGCTTTGTACTTCTCAAAACTTGGAATATCACATTCAACCACAAGTTTAACACATACATTTCTAAATCATATTTTTCATTGAAGCACTCAAAGAATATTCATAGAGCTCCAAAAGCCAAATGTCACTAAATGAATCCACAAAACTGCATGCATAGATCCTATAGATCTTCAGACATCTATCAACATTCTATCTAGTAACCTTTAATCAAAAGTCAACAATGTAGTCATAAATGTATCCTATTGTAGTAATAGACAATTATCCATCACATATATTAAAAAAAAAAAAAGATGAAATACAAGATTAATATAGGTAATCATGCCTCCAAAGCCTTCCCTAACAAACTGGCAAAAGAATTATCACATAAAAATGTTAAAAGTAACAAGGTGGAACAAACATCTCAATAACTAATAGTTCAACTTATCATACAAATCAAAATGTGCTTGTAAGATGTCAAAATGGATAGATAATAGTATAAACCACAAGTGATAATTTAATTTCTCATTAGCAACAAAATATATCATTAACCCCATAAGTGACCTTATACTTTCCTCATTTTTTCTGACTGAACCTATGAGTTAAATTATTAATCCATGCAAACTTTCAACTCTATATGGGTAAAATCCAAGCATTAACCATATATTTTTATATGTATATAACCCCCTCAAACTTTTAAGTTATATACATATAAAGTCCCCAGACTTTAATATATTTATATATATGGACAAACACTGCACATAAATAAGCTATGAACACAACTATTAATAGAGAAGTTATCTACATAAATGTCAGAATTTAGGTGATTCGTTGTAAGCTTTTAAAGCTTAATGAGATTATCTATACATAGTATAAAGTTGATGAGAGTTATGTATAATTTTCCTTA